ATATCTCGTAAGAATTCTTCAGTCACCACCACATGAGAGGTGTGACTATCATACATATCATAATAGAGTAATAGCATAGGGAGCCCTAATTACTATGTAGTTGACCGTGAGACCACAACACTCATATTTGGTATCCTTATACATTATTCATATCTCATCTTGCTTAATCATAATTCGTTACTTACACATGTACTTGACCTGACCATAGTTGGCTCAACATAGGTAAACCAGGAGTCGTATAGTTGCACTTCCTCGGGATAAACCCTCGTGCAAGTCATCCTCCTTAAAACATCATAATATCACCAGGGAATGTATATTTTCCCACTTGTGCATCCAAATACAACAATCATGAAAAATCATACCTAATCACCTTCTCGAACCATCGTAAAGCATATTAACAGTCAAGCCCACAATTTGCAATATATACACAATCATCAGCATAAACAAGGTTCATATCGATTAGGGCAAGTCAATAATATCATACAGTAATCCAGGGTTCAACATATAGAACAAAAGCTCATACACCCCTAATCATGCCATTCTAGTTCACCTAGATCAATTCTAAGCATCAATATAATTATCGTGATACGACAAACCCGGTATGCCGTGCTAATCCCTCACCAGTTCTGGTCGTTCAAACACCGGTTTAACCTTCCCGTACTAAAACGTCAATTTCACGAACGAACCCCGAATTAAAATCCGAGACCGTCCTAATATCCCCTGCAGTATCCCCGTCAATATTAGTTCTGGGCTCCGGGTCAAATTCTCGATAAAAACACATCAAACCCTGGCCGGAGCTAAATTCAGCGGTTTGGACCCCGGCCTAAATAATAGCCGAAATTCAGGGATTAGAACTAGAGGATTGATTACCTCGCTGCAGGAAGCTCGTATATGAAATTTGGGCTCAATCCGGCTTCCGGATACTCCGAAACCCTAATTTAGCTTATCGGGAATTCAAGAAATTCCTGAACCAAAAACTCGTTTTAAAGCTCTAAATCGATAAATCACGATGAATTAGGCATTACTTACGGGATTTTTGGATCACTGTAGCTCAAGAATTGAGCTTTGCAATTTCTCCCCGAGCTCCCCTGTTCGCTCTGTCTCGTTTCCTCTCGGTGGAAAGTGAAAAGAAGATGGGGAAAATGGAATTAAATGGACGCAGTGTGTATATATATATATATATAATTAATTAATACGTATACTTATCCGATCGATCGATAATTCGATTTTCGCCGAAATACTGTCAAAACGCTCGATTTTAAATTGCGAACTTTCTAGCGATCGAAATATGAGTTTTACCGGAACGAGATGTTACAGACGAAAGCTCTGTCGATGCGAGAAAGCGAGGCATTACTCCGCCCATTGCTCCACGTGAATCGACTGCCTCCGAGCGGGAGTTCAAGAACAGCAAGTTCATCAATGAATTCATTAAACTCCTGCATAAGATCTGAATTCCTCACAGCCCCAGATTAATCCTCGTGTCCTCTTACCATATTGAAGTCTCTCGTAATGCAATATGGAACTGCCATTTCAGAACAGAAAGCCAAGAGATCAGCTAGAAATTGTATTTTGTCAGCACGATTCTGAGGAACTATAAACCACTATCAGATTCCAAACATTACCAGTAGAAATATCCTGAAAACCCACGGAAAGGAAAAAGGTTCCCACGAAAGTAGAAACGGCCGAAACATGAAACTTATCCCAGTATACCACGATGCCCCCCTTAAATATCCACAGCATCTTTCGCAGCTCAACCACAATTAGAAAGGCCACAATACTTCTGATCAAAGAGTCACTACAGGAGTTCCATTTAGTTTCCACTAGGCCGACGATACTAGGTTTCCTTCTGCCTATAATTCCTTTTATTCGCCTTCTTTTAAGATCATGACACACCCCCCTTACATTCCAAATAAATAAGCTAGTACCCATTCAGCTCTGCCCTTGTACCTCTGCAACCATTTCCCCTCAATTTGCTCCTCCTTGGTCCTTCCAGAACACACGAACCTGGGCCAAGACGGTGTGCGTCCATCTCCTATTTAGATCTGTGGACTCTTATTTTCCTGTCGTGGGTACTCTTGGCTGATTCCCTAATCAGCGATTCAGTTTGACTGTCGTCGCCACTCAACTCCAATCGGAACAACCTGCTCAAATCCAAGCTCCTGTCTTCCAAAGTGGCTAGATCGAACGGGTAGGCAGATAGATCCCAATTTCTTTCAAGACTATCATAACACACGAGGGCGAGGGAAGGTCCAAGGAAACGCCGACAGAGCATGACACCGGGGTGGTAGGGATAGGGGTGGATATGGTTGAACCTGTTATATATGGTTAAACCTATTTTTGATTCACATTCATGATTATAATAATCAACGGGGAGAGAAAAATTATTTGTTAATTACCAAAAAAATTGATTTGTTTCTAAAAGATCCTGCTTCCTGTCGGATACGGAAAAATAATTAATTCTGGTCTTCTTCTTCTATTGATCGCCGGCTGGAAGTGAAAGTCAACACCGGCAACATAATTAATCATTTCACAGCAAATACATCTTCTTCGTCTCATTTTGATCACAATTCCTATAATCTGGTATTGGAACGGCGGATTCCCTAGACCATCGCTGAAAAGAATTCTACTTTGGCAAATTTTTTAACCGGCATCCACCGTACAGTTACGCTTTGGTGGTGGCAAGAGCGTTGATGCCATGGTGATTCCGAATGACTAGGTATAGGAATCTGTCTGCGCAATGACTGTGCGCTTGACATCGGTGGTAGAGAATATGATTGTTATGCCCGGCGGCAGCAAGAGCGTTGATGGTGGTGGTGATTCCCACTGACAAGCAATTCGGGATCTGAGAGCGCGATGGTCTGTGTGGTTGCGGCGGCAGGGACGATGCTATTTATGTCCGGGCGGAGGCATGGACGATAATGGCAGTGATTCCGATTGAGGAGGTATTTGCGTGAGGACGATGTAACGGCGATGATGATGGTAGTAAGTCAGGTGGCCGGTGATTTCAACAGACGGGGGAGTCGGCTTCCTTCAAAAAGTTGGAGAAAGAAAAGAAATAAAAAGGAAAAGAAAAATGGTCGCTGCCTTCTGTTTTTATAATTTTGTTTTATCTATTTATTAGCAAATTGAATCAGACCTAGCCAATATCGTATAAACCATTACAAATCAAACCCATTTGCTTGAACCGGCCAGGATTAATGGCGGCACCGGTACCGTGACGGCACCATAGAATTGCCGAGAAGTAATTTTGTTAACAAATGAGAATAATTATGTCATTTTATTTTAATTGGTAAATACTTGTGTAATTCATTTGTAAATTCCACCTCAATTCCTCGGAATTACTATAACTAGTTCCAATTCCGTAGAATTCAAAATTTAGAATCGAAAATGAATTCTTTTAAATACCAAACACATAAAGATTTCATTTCAAAATGAATTCCTTAAAACTTATAGAGTTCATTTATACCAAACGATATGTTAACTTGTAACCAAATAGTGACAAGATTGTGAGACTAAAGAATTTAGTCTAATGATTAAAACTATTATCACTAGTTTTCAACTTACAAGTTTTATATTCGAATAACTAAAATAGCATTTAACCACATAAAAATAAATCAACGTAAAAATATCGAAAACTAATAATAATCCTCAAATGATTGCATATGCAACGATTGTTCTGAAAGTCATTCAACAAGTGTTGCAATAAGTAAATATTCTTATCTCGATTATCTTGAGTACCCACCAAATTTGATTATACGTTATAGGAATTCATATATATATATATATATATAACTTGTTGAAACACAAGGAAAACACTCACGTAAAACAACACATAGTCTTTGAATGATCTTTGGTGATCCAAATATGTGGATCACTTGTTTGTTGGATTCTTTCCTGTTCTCCTCCCTTATCTTTCTTCTGCCTTATCTTTCTTCTGTCTGTTTGCGGCAGTTGGTTTTTTTTCTATTTTGCAGTTTGCTGTTCCTTTTGGTTCTTTTGCCTTCTTCTCTTTGCATTGGGGTGGTCTAGTCCATCCAGTGCTCTTCTGTCTGCTTTCCCTTTTGTTTGGTTTTGTTCTTTCGTCCCGGGATCAATGCTCGTGATCCTTGTTTCTCCTCTGTACTCTACTTTTTTTTGTTTCAGTTAATGATATCATCACCCTTATAAAAAAAAACTTGGGGTCAACAACTCTTCATTAAACTCCAAAAGCAGCTAATATGTTTATTGATTTAACAAAACTGGAGGTGGCAATTAGAATTCAAATCCATGAATCCACTCCAATCCATCCATCAAATTATCCACCTAATCCAATCCATTTAAATCCAATCCATTTGATCCAAATCCAATTGGATTGGTGGATTCATGGATCAATCCATGGATCCGAATGGAAAATTACAATTTGGTACCTATGTTTTTTATATTTTACATTTTGATACCTAAAATTTATATTTTTATACGAAAAAAATCATTGGAAAATTACATTTTGGTACCTAAAATTTTTCATTATGACATTTTAGTACCAAAACTTTTCAAATTTTACATTTTGGTCCAAGCCTTGGATGTCATTTGGATTCATGGATCAATCCACCAATCCATGAATCCACCAATCTATTGGATCCAATCCATTTGATCCATGGATCCACCAATCCAATCCACAAATCCGATCCAATTGCCACCTCTAAACAAAACACGTATTCCCGCACGAGTAATTATCCTATAAATTAATCTAGATAGATTCATGTCCATCTAATCACCTTTAGTATTATTTTGAGTCATTAATATTAGATTTATCTCCACTACTCTTCTTATTGGTCCAACCCCAACCAAGATCTCCCTTATGACTATGCATATATTCTCCCACTTCCGATTCACTTCCTCTAATCTTCCTCGCAAAAGCATGATTAAGAAATTGTATTATAAGCACCTTCCCCACTTGCTCATACATCCATTCCCACCTCTCCAACACATTATATATACAATCACATGACATTCTCTTACTCCCACCAAACACCAACATATCACATACTCAACCATTATCTACATACCTCAAACCCTAATATTTACCTAGCTTGCCTCAAAAGAAGTCTCCTCTCTCAATCGTCAATCCACTCTGTTTCCGATTACAAATCACACATGGCTCCAACTTCTTCTTACGATCATGAGCAACAACTCTCATGCGAGATAACGATTCACCAAGCCAAGAACGTGGAAGAGTTCATGACGATAAACAAGTCGTCCTACAAATCCAAAGGAGATTTGTTCATGAGATACTATCTCTCGGCAGGAAACAACAAAAGAATCCAACTTGACACCAAAGAGATCCCCAGCACCAGTGATCATCTTTTGTGGAACGAGTCCGTCTCATTGGATTGCTTTGGCACTCAAGACTCAATCAACAGCCTACAGACAAGCAGCGTGGTTTTCGAGCTGAGATGGAGATCGTCAAAGGGGAGTACCATCCTTGGGCTTGGAGGTTCAAAGCTGGTTGGTAGAGCTGAGCATCCATGGCAAAGTGTCATGGATGCATCAGGAATGAAAATTGAGAAATGGGTTGTTATGAACCCCAAAGAAAGGTAGTCGCACCAGAAAGATCTCCCTTTTCGTAAGAGCTTCTGCTTTTATGTTATACAAAAGCGCTTTTCGCCTTTTCAAAAGCCAAGCATTTATATGTGTTTGGCCCTGTTTCGACTTTTAAAGACGAAAAGCACTTCTAAAAGGCAGGCCAAACATAGGCATAATATAGTTAATAATAATATTGAGAAAAAGAAAGAGAGGAAGGAGTAGTGTTAATTAACATTGCAATTATTGTTCCCTATAGTTTTGATTAATTCTTTTATAACCTTTCTCACTTCTAAGTTCTAATCAATCAAACAAGTGTATAAATGCATGAATTGTGCATTCTATTTCAAGGGTCGATATCAAACCTCGGGAGATTTTCTTTTACTCACATTTTTTTAAATTATTTGGCCTTTATTTTATTCAAATTAAAAATTAAATACTTTCAATTAATTAATAGCAATTACAAGGAGTACTAGTTGGTTTTGATGAACAATTGCTGATCAATTGACGGGATATCTTAATCTAAACAAGATATATGTTGGAAAATTTCTGGTATGAAATAGGGGTCAATTATGACTAACGTTAGTGCAAATACACAAGTAAAAGCATTCATATGACTAGTGTTTGTGCAGAATGGCCAAATTGGTCAATGCCCTCTTCATAGAAACACTGTCAGTTATAGGGAATGGATCAGTCAGTAATTTGGTTGGCTATTCAATATGTATAAATTTTTCAATTAAATTTAATTGACTATATTTTTTGTGTAAGCGAAATATAAATTTTTTGTACCGGTTAATCATGCACTTCAAAAGGAGAACATATACTTTGATACATTTTGGAACAAAACAATTTGAAACATCTATTACCAGTATATACTATGATAATAATATTAGTTAGTATATAAGATTATATCATCGTGGTATGAAAATGTACAATAGTAGTATGAATATAGTATAGTATAGAATGATTGTATACATAATTGTAAGAATACGTAAACCACCATTTACCATTTTTTAACATCGTTTACCACTAGTTACCATCTTATACCAAGGTGGTATAGGATAATCTATTTGATCCTAAAAATTTATTTCCATAAATTTTTAGGTCACTATATGTCATGATGAACACGTTTCTTATGTACAAAAGACTTTAAAATTTGAGTTGAAAACGAATGTGGTATGACGACGGGTGGATGGAGCAGTTTGGCGAGATAGATGGGAATAGGGCTGGAATTTGGTACCAATATTTTGGACAACCAAATATTGTATTGTATTTGCCGATACCTAGTATTACTCAATACACGTATTATTTCATGAGATTGGGACTGAGATTGAATTTCAGTGTTATTTGGTATTAGATATTACACGATTTGGATAAGTATATACCTAAATAGCGACAAATATCAATATATAAGTTAGTGTGTATTTTATTTCTCCCAACTAGTCTCCCTCACTCATTGCTACGAGACCCTCAACCACCAAAATGACCACTTAATTATACATAGCTCACCCCCTCACTATTTGACAAGCCATACTAGCCTCATTTTGTTACTTATAGTATGTTTATGCACTGTTTGGGCATCTCATGTTTCAGCTTGTTGCTTTAGTTTATTGATGTGCTTCTTAGGCACCACATTTTTCGCATTCTTTTTTATTAGCCGAACATATTGAATTACTAATAATTAGTCAATTGTTAACTTCCATTTAGCAATTTTGTAGTAATATTGACTTGACAACATGATACTGATTTGGAAAGGAAAAAAAATTACAAAATTACTAACGATAACATAAAAATGGCTAATATTTTGATACATTACAAAAAATTAGGCTAATTATTAATAATTCAATAGGTTTGGGTAATAAAAAAATTGGAAAAAATTGGTTAAAAATAAATGAAAGTGAATTACATGTCTTAAAAAATTGGTTTAATACACTTGTATATCCAAAACTTTCACGGTTGTGCCAATAATATCCAAATTTTCCGGAATACCACTTATATCCATGTTTTAAAGTTGTTCTTGCCAAATATATCCATTTCCGAATATATTTTTGGTTAAATACACTTGTATATCCAAAAACACCGTTAAAGAATGTGAAGGAATTGAATATAAGTAGTATTTCGGGAAATTTGAATATTATTTGCACAACCGTGAAAGTTTTGGATATATAAGTGTATTTAACCTAAAAAATTTGTGAGGTTGAATGGGGTAAAATATTGTTTAGAAAACACATAAATAGCCAAAGGTAGAGGTTTTTGAAATTTGCGGATGTTTTCGAAAATGTCATCGCTGGGTTAATTGCAAGTTTGGTCACTAGATTTACTAAAATCATTCACGTTAGGTCACTAGAAATATTTAATTTCATTCGTGGTCACTAGAATTACTTAAAGATTTCAAGTTTGGTCACTCTCCGTCCAACTCCGTTAACTTCGGCTGACGTGGCAGTCAAATTTCATAGTTGACCGTTAAATATGTGATGTGGCAATTAAAAAATAAATAAATAATAAAATTTAATCGTTTAAACTTTCCACCTCATTTTCACAACTATTCAAAAATAAAAATTAATTTTGTATTATTTAAAACAATAAGTTTTTCTCCCGGTTGTGTCCTCCCACCATGAATACGGTCCTCCGATCTGGGTCAGTCGCACAGGCAAAGAACGACCGGTCTCTTTCAGCACCATCTCTTCTTCTCCTTCTCTCTTTTATATATCATCAATCCTGCTCAAATCCCTTCCCATCCTAAACCCAATTCCCCAATTTCCAAATACGATCCTTCCCCCTAGTTAACCCATCAAAAATCCATGCCGACGCCGTCGACGCAGCTTATTCGGGGCATCCCCGACAACCTCAGTAGGGATTTCCTCTCTCGCTGATGTGATAAAATCGAAAAAGAATAGCGGCCTTTCTTCTGTCTGACATCCACCCAATGGAAACAAACCAGACGACATAAGCAATCCACTACCAGCCAATAACCATAGATCCTCCCACCTACTTGCACCTTCCCCAATCCAAGATAAACCCCCATTTTCACATCACACGGGACAACAAAAGAAGGAAAGAGTAGATTTATACTCTCCGAAGAAACCATCAATCAAACCCATTCCCCCCGCAGCTTGCATCATCACCAGCCACGATCTCATCCACTGGCGTCGCTGCCGCAGCACAGTCATCCCTCTGCATATCATCAACAATGTTCAAACAATCCACTACCAGGCGGCTCTCAGCAAAACCCCAAACACAAGAGCATCCTGCATAAGCACCCACTCTACACCCCGCTCCTCCACAACAACGTCTCCTTCCCAAATAGAAAAGAAAGTCATCTGCCTCAAAATCAGCCCCAGTCGTTCTTCGGCGGTGCGACTGACCCAGATCGGAGGACGGTATTCGTGGTGGGAGCCGGGAGGATACGACCGGGAGATTTTTTTTAATTATAGAAAATTAAGTTTTATCTTTTAATAGTTGTGAAAATGAGGTGGAAAGTTTAAATATTAAATTTTATTTCTATTGACTGCCACGTCAGTCAAATAAACGTAGTTGGACGGAGAATGACCAAACTTGAAATCTTTAAGTAATTCTAGTGACCACGAATGGAATTAAATATTTCTGGTGACCTAACGTGAACGTTTTTAGTAAATCTAGTGACCAAACTTGCAATTAACCCTGTCATCGCTTATCAGGGGAGGGGAATGAATGAATTCAATTTCAAAGATCTGATTCAAAATTAAACATACGACAGACGAACGAAACATTCTCAGTCCTCCGTTGCACACTGAACTATCTCTCTCTCTCTCCCTTCCTTTCCTATCTTTCTCTCTTAAGTCTTATCCCTATCACACACAATCGATCGAACTCAGATCCCCTGCAGTTCATAATGGACAAGCGCGCAGCTGCGAGAAACCCACACGCTTCCACCGCCGATCTCCTCACCTGGTCGGAGGTTCCTCGCCCCGATTCCCCGGCGACCCCTCGCTCCGCTACCCGCTCCTCCCATCAGGTTTAGTTTCCCAGCTTTCCATTTCTTTCCGTCACGGATCTCAGCTGCCTCAAAGCCCCCTGCATTTCGAATGCTTCCTGATTTGCGTTCCCCTGTTTGTTTCCTATCTGGGTTCGCGTTCTTTTCAGCCGTCGGATAAAATCAGCAAGGTGGTGTTCGGAGGCCAGGTCACCGACGAGGAAGCTCAGTCTCTCTCCAGCGCGTAAGATTTCAAATTCTCTCGCTTTATTAATCTCCATCGATTTCTCTTCCCCAGGTTTGCTCTTTTTAGAATACGGCCACCTTTCAAATTTGAGCTGGACAAAGAATTGAGATTTCAGATCTACAGCTGCATGTTCCTTCCTCGTCGGGGGTTTCCCCTTCCACAGCAAAGGAAGGATTTAACATCTAGTCTCTAGATGACCATTGGGTGTATAGAGTTCTGTTGAATGTTCATTTTCTGATTTTCGGATAATGAATTGGGTGAATCAAGGTGGCCATGGAAATGAGCTGATGGGTTCTTTTTGGTAACTGCAGGAAGCCATGTTCAGGGTATAAGCTGAAGGAAATGACTGGTAGTCGCATTTTTGGAGCTGAAGGCACCGCAGATGATGCATCTGAAACAAATCCTACTAACCCTAATGCTAGAACCACGGTTCGTATAGTTCAGGTATTGGATCGATGCGTGGTTTTGTTTTGGTTCTGTGTTTGTATTACATATTCTTTGTTTGGTAAGTTGATTATGGGTTTTGCAATCGTCTCAGCAAGCCACAAATGGGATCAGCCAAATCTCGTTTGGCACGGAAGAGACAGTCTCTCCCAAGAAGCCTAATTCTATAGCTGAAGTGGCTAAGCAACGTGAGCTGAGTGGAACTTTACAAACCGATTCTGATTCGAAGAACAAGAAACAGATATCGAATGCGAAAATCAAGGAGATCAGTGGGCATGATATCTTTGCACCTCCACAAGAACCAGCTCCCCGATCTGTGCATGTTGCACGCTCCCTGGAGTCCAGGGAGAACAACAAGGACATTGGTGAACCTGCTCCCCGGACCATTCGCACTTCTGTCAAAGTGTCTAATGTAAGCACATTTCTTTAAGTAGCTCTAGATTTACTCTGCTATCTAGGATCCATTTGCCCCATTCAATTCTTGATTGGTAATTTAGTGGCCAGCTTTCTTTAGTTTGAGCCACATATGACACCTTTTAACTGCCTTGATATGTTTAGCTGCCGGGGAAGATGATTTTCTTAGCTATGAGATGTCCTCCTGACTTTTTCAGCTCTTTTTGTTTTAACTTTGAACAGCCTGCTGGTGGCCAGAGCAATATCCTATTTGGCGAAGACCCAGTGGTGAAGACAACAAAGAAGATACACAACCAGAAGTTTCAGGAGCTAACAGGAAACAACATATTCAAGGGAGATGTTCCACCTGGATCAGCTGAGAAGACAATAAGCACAGCCAAACTTAGAGAGATCAGTGGCAACAACATCTTTGCTGACGGAAAGGCAGAATCCAGGGACTACTTCGGTGGTGTTCGCAAACCCCCAGGTGGCGAGAGCAGCATTTCACTCATATAAACTGCTTCTAACTGTTCCCTTCCATCACCAGTTGCTACTGGGGTCAAGATCAATGTCATCCATCCCCTAGAACTCCATAACCAGAATATGCTGTTGGCTTTAGTTTAGTTTCTGGGATTCCGGGGTCTATTGGTGTTGGCTTTCGCTTTCCGCCTTTTGTCTTTCTTTATTCACCACCTTAACTTAACCACGTATGCCATTGCCTTCGAGTGCTGGACTTCACAGGCTTGTGGAGTTACCTATGTACTGCTATTCCCCACTGGACAAAACTTTAGACTCTTTATATATTAAGCTACATGGGCTTATCCTTAACAATGTATGTAGGGCTGTTTTTTGGTAGCTGATAAATGAAGGTGTACTCATCACCGGAGGAACAGACCGCAAGGGAGCATCAGACCGGGATATGATTAGGGTAGTCCATTCGGTTATTAGAAAGACTATTTCAGATAATGATAGGGTAGTCAATTCGCTCACTAGAAAAACTATTTATTTGTTGTGTGAAGGATTGGGTTGTATCTTTGTGTTGTTGGCTATTCCAATAAGCTTTTTTGAGGTTATGGAAATGAGCTTTTTCGGTGACTAGAAAGATTTTTTCTTTGTGTCATAGGATTTGATTTTGGGTTAATACCTTAAAATGGTCTGAAGCATACGTGTGCGTAAAGCCTTGATGGGACATTTATTCTGCCAACAATATCATCAACACTAAAGAGGTCGTTTGCTTGTAGGATTCTGAAAAATCAAGGATTTGTATAAAATCCTGGATTTTATCATAGAATGATTATGTGGGATTTTGTCATTTTGGATTTGTGTTGGATTTGCAAAAGTACTTGTTTGCTTCATGGATTTTGTATTGGATTTATGGTCCTTGTAATTGATTAGTTAAAGGTTGAATTTACGATTTTATCCTTATTAACTACCATCTCCAAGAGAAGAACAAAAGCTCCTGCCCTCCGCCATTACCTTCTCCATCTCCTTCCAAGTTTATTTTACAGTTTAATCCGCCAACACCACTTGTTCCTTGTGGCTAGCTAACTAAATTTATATGGACTAAATAAAAAACTGCAGCAACTTACACAAACTTGCAGCAGCTACTAAGCAACCTCAAACGTGTTCAAAACTTATAATGATGACAACTTTCAGCAGGTAACGCAAATTTGCAGCAGGTGCTAATAGAAATTTGTAACTTACAATAACGACAACAAAAATTTGTAGCAGCTACTTCATAACAAGAATATGTCCAAAGTTGTAGCAACTACTTCACTCGAGAATGGGAGACGGAGGAAGCTTCATACGGTACACAAACGGGAATGTGATGGAGGCTGCTTGTCAAACCCTACAAATAATAATGAGGGCAACATCAGAATATTGGAAATATATAAGGTTACTTTTGTCATTTGTTTTCATGGATTATGGCTCTTCCCAAAATTCCACCAAAAGAGGTTTGATTTTATAATCCGTGAACCCCACGGATTTTGATCCCACTATAATCCCTTATGCATGGGTCCCACAAGAACTAATCCAACACAATTTTTGAAACAAACATGGACTTTGTCCATAAATCCTGTAAGTGTGGGTTTTTAGCCCAAAATCCTTGATCAAAATCCCAATAGCAAACGACATCTAACAAAGCATTAACTCGTTTGCTTGTTGGATTGGAAAATGAAGGTTTTTTAGTTTTGAAAACCTTTGGATTTGTGATGGATTTGTTTCAATTGGTATTTGAAAGATATCATTGTTTGTTTAGTTGATTTTGATCATGGATTTAAAGATTTTTGTACCATGGGTCTCAACTCCTTGCCTTCAATGACCAAATACCAAATGAAATGTGGTATTTGCAAATACGTGGGGTCCACGAATTTGGAGCTAAAAAAATGTCCAAATCTGTCAGCCCCACGGATTTGTATACCTCAACAAACAATGTTTTTATATAAAAGAGGGTTAATATTTTCGTATGACCTGAACTTTGGCCAAAATAAACATCCTGGCCAATCTTTTCGATCTATAGCATCCTGGCCCGAACTATACACCAAAATAAACAATTTGGCCAAACCCAATGTTTGACCGTTAACTTGGACAGTCAATCGTGTTGACTAACTGTCAACGCGCCACGTCACTGCCACGTCACTGCCAAGTCATAAGATCAGATAAATATTTAATTTTTTTGTTTTTTATTTTTGGTTTAACTAAGGTATTAGTTGGTTTTTTTAATTTATAATAATTTAAAATTAGGGAATGTGTGGAAGTTGTGAATTATTTAAATATTTTATGCTGACTTGGCAGTGACATGGCGCGTTGACTAACGGTCAACGCGTTTGACTGTCCAAGTTAACGGTCAAAAGTCGGATTTGGCCAAATTGTTTATTTTGGTGTATAGTTCGGGCCAGGATGTTATAGATCAAAAAGATTTGCGATGATGTTTATTTTGGTCAAAGTTCATGCCATACGAAAATATTAACCCTATAAAATACGTAATGCTTTGTATTTGAGTGCCAAATACATCACCCAAATCCCACAAGCAAACGACATCTAAATAACATCGATGTGGATGCCTAAACACACATCATAAACAATTGCACAAAAAGAAGCATAATTGTCCACAAAATGAGCTAGGATAACCATTATATAAACTAGTTTTTTACCCGTCCGTTGGGCAGTGCATTACATTTGATTATTTTAAAATTTATTATTGTATTCTAATTATTATTATCATTTATGGTTGTTGATTTAATATATATGAAATTGTAAATCTCACTTACCTTACTTAGGTAATGTTTCATACTTTTATATCTTTTTTATTTATGAAAAATTTAATTATTAACTGAGCTCTTTGTAGACTGTTCTTTATTGATTTAAAATATTGTATCGAACTCAAAAAAGTGATAAAGAAGTTAAAAAATTTAAGGTAAAAAAACGAAGAAGTTAGGATAAGAAAATAGGATTCAATTAATAAAATAAGTGAAGAGCTTTTCATTTTCTTTCCCTTCTCTTATGTTGGTCTATGATAATAGAGAATATTCCGATCTAGATCTCACAAATATCGTGTATTATCAGTTACACCTGCAATTCTGGAATAATGATGAAATACATTATCATCCACATCCATCAGTCTTCTGGATACTCAATTAATTTATCTTGTCGATGTTCTAGCAAAACCAACCACAAACAGAACTATCAGTTGTCACTAATTTATTAAAACAATATTTTCAACAAACTAAACTTCATATAAACACAATTTATAATTTATAGAGAGCTGCATATCTCATAAAGGAAAAAATAGTGTTTTTTTACCTAATAACAACATAGACAAATAATGAAAGGGGCATACTTCAATACAACTCAACTCATTCTATCTTGCATATTCCTAATTTGTGAACTGAATCTATGCACCAATCAAAATAGTAGTTGGTAAGAAAATAATCATGTCAAAATCAAGCTTTAGTTAATGATTTAATGAGGAGAAATTCACCCTAATGAAACAAACAAATGTCATTGCAATCGTGTAGAAATTGAAAAAAAACATCAAAATACACAACCGAGGAACTGCCACAGTCATTTTCTTTCTTCTTCACGACCTTTATAAAACCCCCAATTATGTTCCCTTCTACTTATAATCCCATTGCTACCTACTAATTATTAACCAGATCATCATCTTATAGCTAGCTTGTAGCATGTCAATCATGAACATAAGGAACATAATGAAAAACCCTCACAACTCCACTTTCCATTTCAACATCTAAAGTATCCGGGTTGCAATAGGCATTTAAGTAAAAATCAATTATTCAACCAAAGGACATATGCTCTAAGTCCAACCAATTATCCTTTCTAATCATATATTACCAATTTACATAAAAGTATATGACGTAATAGAGAACATAAAATAACTCTGTGAAAATGAAGAATAAATACATTCGCTCATCAAGTAGAGAAATTTATCATCCAGCAGTTTTAACTTGGAAGAAATTAAGAAAATAATGGAAAAAAGAGTGAGCAGTTGCGAGCTTAAGATCAAGGAGGAAGAGGTAGAGTCGACAATCCTCGGTTTGGTTCACCTCAGTGGCGGAGGGAGAGTATAGACCCACCCTGACTCGGAAGGACAATTGTTAAATTAGGTACAATAGTTAATTTATATAGAAAATTAGGGGTATTTAATTGAGAATAGTTGATCGAAATATTTTTTGTTCGAAATTTTGGTGACCTCATTTTTTAAGTACACGATATACAGATTTGTGCAAACTTCATTTTTCTATAAGTTGACTTTCTTATATGAGGGAGTGTGCTAGTAAATAGTATAAGATATATTATTGAACCTCTTCCAACAACTCAATTTATTGATTCAAAAAGATTCTTGACAAATAACATCATTTGTAAGCGAATGACTAACCAAATCATGAATTATTGTTTGGTGTAAGATTTATTATTAAATATCTCTGGACAACTCGAGTTATAGATACTAATGGTTTTTATAAAGAACATTATACGAAACAGAACGACTAACTAAATCATTAATAATTGTTTGGTATATAAAGTAATATTCTTGATACTTTCGACTGCTAATCTATTTTACTTAACCAAAATTTTCCAATATAAGATTATGTCATGAATGATTCGCAAAGTTAACAAAAAATTATTTTACCAGGTGTATTTTTCTTCTAAGTGGACCCACATTAGATGAAATCCTAACTACGCCACTGGTTCACCTCGTCTTCGTAATGATAGGATGAACTGGTTTTATCAACAGGCAAAAATATGTTACAACTGCTCAAAATTTTTCCATCTAATCGTTTCCTGGTGTACCTCCCTCCTCCTATTCTCCTACAAAGAAAAAAAAACTTCATATGCATTATCATTTCCTTCTCTATCTAATTTCTTATTTTCAATGTTGGATTTTATTTCTAGAGAGACAATCAAAATGGGAAAATGGTAGAGATAAATTAAAAGGTAGTATTCATAATTAATATGTTTTTGATTTAAACGGAATGAATAAGAAGTGTTTTAAAAATTAACAATTATTGCTATGTCAAATTTATCTTCAGACCTTTTTCTATATAAATTATACTTGTTTTATTTTATAAGTATAATCATTAGGAAGAAGTGAGTGTTTGATAACAAAAAATATATAGTCATGTAGTTCATTTTTCAAAAATGATTGATTGACAAACGCTCATTTTCTCCTAGGCCATCGTTTAAATTTTATTTAATTGAAAAATTATTATTATTCATATGTGTGCTTGTTTTTTTCCATCAAAATGTAACTTATTATAAATTTTTAGTGAAAATGAATAGAAAATTTACTTAATGAGATTTAATAAGATATTTTGGGTTAAACTGTCACTCTCTATTTTCATTTTTATAGTTTGTTTAATTGAAGAAAAGATTATTACTTATGTGTGTTTGTTTGTTTAAATGTGTCACAAAAAATGTACCTTATTTTAAGTTTTAGTAAAAATGAGTAGAAGTATTAAAAGAAGAGAGAGATAGCTTCATAAATAGATCAATAAATAAATTTTTGTTTGTTAAAAAATTGTCCACCTTGGCATCTTGTGAATTCACCAAGTGCTTATGTGGCAAGAAGTTATTTTTGAATAGCCATAATATTAAGTATAGATAGATAGATAGATAGATAGATAGATAGATAGATAGATAGATATAGATAGATAGATAGATAGATATAGATAGATAGATAGATAGATAGATAAATAAAAAGATGAACTAGGTTACCGTCAATTATAGGTGACACTTTAATCCAATCTATCGACCAAAAGTCCAACTAATAAGATCTATTTGATCCAAATAGATGTTTTTTTTATTATGGTGAATATATTAAAAGTAGAAAAAACAATTGTTCGAATACAAAGATCCATGGGGCCGGCGAGTGGGTTGGGCCGTTGGGCCCCCTGTGGGCTGTTTGGGCCGGTTGGCCAGGTGGGCAGTCCAGCCTATATTGGGCCAGCTGGGTCTGTCTTAGCCTTAGGGCCTAATAAAACCAGACCCCCAAGCCCAGCTTCTTTTGTTTCAAACTCCACAATTATGAATCCTTTGGGTTTACTAGCGTTGAGCCCATGGAAGGAAATAACCATGTTTAATGGGTCTAATGAGTTACTTGTCTATGATTGGCAGGTGAATATGGCGTTTCGAATTGCTGAGGATCAAGTTGTCGAGTTCTCTCTGGAGGAAGTCCAATCGGTGAGGTTTCGAACCTCTAGGACTCTTCTGGGAAGGCTCTTTTCAGAGGCCCAGTTTACTGCTGCGGAATTGAAAGAGGGGCTAGTAGAAGCATGGCGGGTAAAAGGAAACCTTAGGGTTTCAATTACTAAATTTGGCTTGTTCGAAGTGGTGTTGCCTAGTGATGAAACAAGGGTGTGGGTTCTGAAACGGTCACCCTGGATTGTCAAAGACAGGATCTTCCATCTTCGATCCTGGACACCAGCGATTTCCCGGCATACTTTTGAGGAGTTAGCTTTTGCACCCTTTCGCGTTCAACTCTGGAATGTGAAGGAGGACTGATGCACTAAGCAGTTTGGTCAGAAAATGGCTTCGGGAAAGATTGGGCAGGTCTTGGAAGCAGACGTCTTCGCGTCAAAGGAGACAGATGAGCACTTCGTGAAAGTGCATGCGCTCATTAATTTTGCTAAGCCATTGAGATCTCAACTTATGGCGGTCAGCGAGGAGCTTGGCGAGTTCTGGGTTAATCTCAAGTACGAGTTCCTTCCCACCGTCTGCTTCCACTGTGGGCGTGTAGGGCATTCTAAGCGGGACTGTGTCTTTGACCCCCCTCTGGGGAAAGAACGCTTCGGCCCGCACATGACAACGAGGAAGATCGGGCGCAAGGTGTACATG